TACTTGTACCTCGACTAAGTTACGTATTGCTATCAAGAGTAACAAATAAGTGTAATAAAATATGAGTTATCAAATTCCCCCACACTTATCTTTTTGCACTCCTGGGCAAAAACTAGAATAGAAAAAGAAAGCAAAGAAATAAGAAAAGAGTGAAGATCAACCTATCCTTCCTAATAATTAGCAAGTATACAAAAGATAACAAAAATCACAAGTCTTGAACAGATAAAACAACCAGGACAAAATTCCTTAATCTCAAATCACAAGACGTGCTGATTTCAACTGCAACTGCTAACTACACAAAAATGGTCTCACAGGATGCCCTCAATTTTCTCTCAAGTGTATCAGTTAATTCAGTATATCACTCAAATCAACTCCAGAAAATCATTCTACCATAGGCTTGCTCAAATTCTATTTCTCCACTGCTAATAACACATGCATGCACAAATCAAGAGGGCTTTATGCAGGATTGTAATGGGGGCGAGGTAAAGGTACGGATGAATATGGAAGAGAAAGCTAAACACCCCAGAATTTTATAAAGAGCAAAAGTTAAGAACTAAACTAAGAACATAAAACAAAGATACTGAAAAGATAAACACTTTTTTTTTCTTGTTTTTTTTTTTGTTTTGTTTTTTTGTTTTGAAGTAAAACCACATAAGTACAACCACATATGTCACCCCCACACTTAAACTTTTGTCCGTCTCGGGCAAACCCCCACACTTAAACACAACATCACAATGAAACCAATGCTCAGTAAAACTCCAAGGTATGGAATTAATTGGTTTTTCACTTAGGCTGGTAATGCGGCTTAAGAAATAACGGATATAAAGGCTCAAAAGGGCTCACCAAGGGATAATAATATAAGGGATGACTATCTAGCTAAAGTGGGTAAAGAAAGAAAGAATGCCTCAATCATATTCATGCATGCAAGTGAAAAATGCAGTTTCAAAAAGAATCAGAGCAAGTTCTAGAGGACAACAATCAAGAGCAGAATCATGCAATCCGCAACACAGTATCAAGCAGCAAGTAATGCAATCCAAGAATCAAGAACTAAGCCTAAGCAGAAATTTCTATCAAACCCTGTGATTTAAGTCTACTCCATGTAACACTCAATAATAACCAGAAAGAAAAGGAAAATCTACCTATGAAAATCAAAGACTGAAATAAAGAAAGGAAAAGAAAAATGCAAATAACAGAAAGAAAAGAAAAAGAAGGAAGAAGACTCCCTGAACTCCCTAAGGAGGATAAGTAGCATCAATGAGCAGAGCCTCTGTCTCCACAGGTTGCTTCTGGGGTCCTTCATTAACAACTTTGAGGTGATGGCAAATCATTGTGCAAGTCTTCCCCATCTGCTTATCACGCAACTTTGGGGGCTTTCTTTTCTGTGTGTATTTCTTCTTCTCTTGATCCTTTCTTCCAACCTTATGCAAACTTTTCTGCATACTAAAAATAGAGGAAGAACTTTTTGGTACCCATTTCATCTTGGGTCCATGAGAGTTAGGATCAAAATCATTACCAGAATGGGGAGTCTTGCATAACTTCGCATTTAGTACACATTCAGAATTAACATTAATAGGCAAGTCATAATCCACAGGTAATGCACAATCACTAATCAATTCAAAATCAACCTTATCAGCCACATCATGAATCACTTTTATGCATGAAACTGAATGATCAACCTGAACCTTAGAATGCTTCATGGAATCAAATATACTAAAATGTAAAATGCTATCACCAAATTCCATGGATAGAGTACCAGAATGAACATCTATCTTTGTTCTAGCTGTTCTCATGAAAGGCCTACCAAGTATAATTGGTGATCTATTAGTAGCAGTCTCACTCTCCATTTCTAAAATGTAGAAGTCAGCAGGAAAAATCAGATTATTAACTCTGACCAATACATCCTCAATCAAACCAGATGGGTGAATACTACTCCTGTTAGCTAATGTAACCACAATACTAGTAGCACGCAAAGGACCAAGTCCAAGAGACTTATATACAGATTCAGGCATGACATTAATGGAAGCCCCTAAGTCTAGCATGCAATCATGAAAAACAGAATTGCCAATTACACAAGGAATAGTAAATGTCCCTGGATCTTGACATTTTTTAGGCATAGGCTGGATGAGTGCTGATACATTCTGACTCAGGTTAACTTGCTCATCTCCTTTCAGTCTTCTCTTGTTGGTGCACAGCTCCTTTAGAAACTTGGCATATCTCGGAATCTGCTGTATTGCATCCAGAAGAGGGATGTTCACCTCAACTTTTCGGAAGGTGTCAAGTATCTCTTTATCTCGAGCCTTTGCTGATTGCTTCTTGGACTGAGTGGCTCTCTGAGGGAAAGGTAGAGGGATATGGACATCAGATGTATCAGTGCTATGCTTCTTGGAGCTAGTGTCACCTCCCTTAGATGACTCAACAGCAGCTTGGTTTGGCTCCTCCATTTGCTTTCCAGACCACAGAGCAATAGCACTCACATTTCCGCTTCCTTTTGGATTTGGAACTGTTTGGGATGGAAGGGAGCTGCTGGAAGATCGGGCCTGGTTCATTGATGTCGCCAATTTCCCGATCTGTGTCTGCAAATTCTGGATTGTGGATTCTGTCCTTTGTTGAAACTCCAGATTGTTGGTGGCCATCTGTTTCATTAAGTCCTCCAACGAAGGACCACTGACACTGTTTTGCTGCTGCACTAGTGGTTGTTGTTGTAACTGTTGAGGAGCAGGTTGCTGGAAGTTTTGTCTCTGCTGTGGAATGAACTGCTGCTTCTGTTGGTATGGAAAATTTGTTGACTCTGCTGATATGGAACATTTTGCTGATTCTGGTTCCATTTGAGGTTGGGATGATTCTTCCAGCCAGGATTGTAAGTGTTGGAGAATGGATTACTCTGCTGCTGCTGGAACTGTGGTTTCCCAGGAAAGGCTGCAGCTACTGACTGGTCTGCAGGAATGGAGCCCTCTTGTAGAGAAGGGCAAGCATCAGTGGAGTGAAAATGATCACTGCATATGCCACATGGATTGCCGAACTGTGGAACAGAAGTCTGGACTGTCTGGGTAACTGCCAACTGTCTCACCATGGTTGCCAATTCATCAAGTCTATTTTCAATTTGCTGATTGTCAGCACTTGATGCCACTGCTGAAGGCTGGGTCGGAGTTTCTTGCACCTGGTACACAACACTGCTATTGGCTCTCGTTCCAAACTGTTGAGCATTTGCAGCCATGTTTGAGATCAACGCCTTAGCTTCATTGGGTGTTTTGTTAACAAGAACTCCTCCACTGGCAGCATCAATCAGGTTCCTATCCATATGTAGCAATCCCTCATAGAAGTAGACAATCAGCAATTGCTCCGGAATCTGGTGATGTGGACAACTTGCACAAAGTCTTTTAAACCGCTCCCAGTACTCATGCAAGTTTTCCTCATTTGCTTGTTTTATGCCACTTATCTCCTTTCTGATTGAAGTGGCTCTTGAGGACGGAAAAAACTTCTCCAAAAACAATCTGGCCATGTCATTCCAAGTTTCGATAGATGAAGGCTGAAGGTAGTACAGCCAATCCTTAGTTCCTCCATCAAGGGAAAAAGGAAAGGCTCTCAGTTTGACCTGCTCCTCATCAACTCCTTGCGGTTTCATTGTGTTGCAGACTACATGAAACTCTTTCAAATACTTATATGGATCTTCACCTGCAAGACCATGAAACTTGGGAAGCAAATGGATAAGACCAGACTTAAGTTTAAAACCAGTATCAAGATAACGAATGCAAAAAGACTGATACTTAACATCAGGTGCAGTCAATTGCCTTAAGCTTCTATTATCCATGTTTTTTTTATTGTGACCAAAACTTCCTAAATTATAAAAAAAATAAAAATAAATAAAGAATTAGGAAAAATAAAATAAAAATAAAAATAAAATAAAAATAAAAATAAAATAAAATAAAATAAAAGGAAAGAAAGAGCAAAAAGAACCAAAATAAAAATAACAATAAAATAAATTAAATTAAATTAAAATAAAATAAATAAAATGAAAAAATAAAAATAAAAGGAAACTAAATCTAACAAAATCTAATCTAACTAATCAAAATCTAACAAAATCTAATCTACTGTTAATATTCACTAATTAGAATAAAAAAAATATATAGAAACAGAAATAGAAAAAGAAAAATCAAAATGAAAATTGAAGAATTTTTTTTTTTTTTTAGAAAAAGAAACGAAAATTAAAGAAGAAGAAGATGATCAAGAATCAGAAAACGATTTAGACCGATGCAATTTCCCCGGCAACGGCGCCAAATTTGACACGAGCTGTCGAACTCGCGCAAATTAAAATTATTTTTTTAATTAGGGTTCAGAAAATTTGCAGTAAAGTGGAAACCCTAAGTCGTCTCTCAAGGAAATTGTTTTGGTTAAAATCGCTTATGAAAACAGAAAATTAAAAGGGGGGTTTTGGATTTTGATTCAATAATTAAAAAGGCAGAATATAAATTTGGAATAAAAATTCGTAATTAAAAATAACCAACCTAAGGTTTGGGTTCCATGGACGTCTTTCCTCGGATAAGAAGATATCAGAATCGTGATTGATTTGTCAATCAGATCAGAATCCTTATTTCCAATTGACAACCCTCTCTAAGCGATCGCTTAGCATTTGATCAAAGACGATGTTTCTACTCATACAATCGCAGAGTATCAGCCCGCTTGATTTAAGGTCATAGGGTCAATCAACCTAATCATCAAATCTGATGATTAATCCCTTTCCATAATCGCAATCGCGAACCTCAGATTGAATATCCACGATCGCACGATATCAATCTGAGTTGGGAAGGGAAACAAAACTGATTTGAAATAAACGCAGATCCTCAAGACTAATCCATGGAATCCATTACCCTTAGGTTGATTAAAAGGTTCTTAGCCTCGCATGGCTAAGGTAAACATGATTGAAATAAAAAGAAGAAGAAGAAGAAAAAGATGAAGAACGCTTCAGAGAAAATACTTTGATCCTCAATTTTGAAAATTACAGAATGCATCCAATGTTTCCTACTCTGCCGTCATATACCCTTACTCAAAGCAGCTTAGGGTTCAGTTCTGACCGGCCCATATGTCTAAAATACGGAATAAAATAAATAAAATAAAATAAAACTTCAGCAAAACGTGTCCGACTTGGCGCAAGAAATAGACTAGCTTTCAATCCGAATTGGGCTTCGAGCTCTTCATAAGAATTGTAGCCCTCTGTGTTATCTGAAAAATCCAATAAGAACGGAGTCAATCCGACAACTGTGGACCAAGATATGGCCAAAATACAGAAGTAACGTAAAGCTGAAAAATTCTGACGAAAATAAATTAAACCCAATCAAAAACTAAAAATGTAAATAAACTCAAAACATCATTATTTTATTCAAATAAATTCTAAAAATACTAATCAAGAGTAACAAATAAGTGTAATAAAATATGAGTTATCAGCTGGTCCTGCTGTTGGCCAGGCTCCACCACCACCGCAACCACCGCCACCGCCTCCACCTAGTGTTCAGGAGGAGAGCCATAGTCACATCGGCAGTGCTACTCATGCCGCTGAGACAGGGGAGCCCCTTGTGGGGATTGCTGAGGATCGTGATGTGATCGATCGCCGGCTGAATGCTTTCAGGAAGCATAAGCCACCTGTGTTTGAGGGGTCTTTGGATCCTATTGCTGCTGCGAGATGGCTAGAGTCGCTGGACAAGATTTTTCGGGTTATGCAGTGTACAGACCCACAGAAGCTAATGTTCTCGACCTACATGCTGGAGGGCGATGCCCATGAGTGGTGGACGCACACCTCTCGTGCTTTTGAGAGGCAGGGCCGTGTCATGACGTGGCCATTCTTTGAGGAGTGCTTTCTGGGCCGATGCTTTCCCTATGATGCGCAGGAGAGGAAGCAGGGAGAGTTTGATCGTTTGGTACAGGGCTCGATGTCTGTTGATGAGTACCTGGCTAAGTTTAATGAGCTAGTGAAATTTGCATACTTCAGGATGGTTCCTCCTACTCCGTTGTTTCTGGCTGCTAAGTTCCGTAGGGGACTTAGTGAGGTGATTGCTGAGCATCTTGCTGGAGCTGCTTCGAGGGACTTTGGTACACTGGTTCAGCAGTGTAAGGACATTGAGGATGTCTGCATAGCAAGCAAGGCCAAGAGGGCCAAGGTTGAGGAGAGCAAGGGAACAGGTGGTTCCACTCCTGCTCCTACTTCTTGGAAGGACAAGAGGTTTGCTGATAAGGGAAAGGGAAAGCAGTTAGCGACTAGGCAGGCGCCTGGTCAGTTCAAGAGAGCTGTTTCACATTAGGGGAGTTCTGCTAGGCCTCCTACCACTTCGAGATGTTCAGGATGTGGGAAGGAGCATGTGGTACGCTGTGCTACGGGGCAGTTGCTGTGCTTCAAGTTTGGCAAGGAGGGCCACTTCTCTAGATATTGTCCGTTGTCGACGGCAAGAGCTGCAGCTGTTCAGGCAGTTCCTTTGCAGATGGTTCCGATGGCATCTTTTTCGGCACCTGCAGTGCCACCTTCTGTTGGGAGAGTGTATACACTGGATAGGCAGCAGTCGGACCGCGCTCTGAACCTTGTCAGAGGTACTGTGTCTATTGGTGATTCTTTTGTTGATGCTATCTTTGACTCCGGGGCTACGCATTCGTTTGTTGCTACCCCGATTGCTTTGGGGCTTGAGTTGCCCATGTATGTGCTTCCTCCACCGCTGCGGGTGACTACCGCCACCGGAGAGATATGTGATTCTATCACTGTACATCGCAATGTAGCGTTTCAGTGGGATGGCCGTGAGTTCTCGGTAGATCTGATAGGATTGCCGATGGCCAACCTTGAGATTATTCTGGGCATGGATTGGTTGTCTAGAAACTGTGCATTGATTGATTGTTGTGCAAAGCGCGTGGTGATGTCTCCGTGTGATTCCACAGCTAGTTCATCGCCATACATTTCACTGCTGCAGGCCAGGAGAGCGTTGCGAGCAGGGCATTGGGTTATGTCATGTTGGGTGGTTTGGCGAGTGGGACACAGGAGGATATCACTGGCATTCCTGTGGTGGGGGAGTTCTTGGAGGTGTTTCCTGAGGAGATCCCTGAGTTTCCACCGCAGTGGGAGATAGAGTTCTCCATCGACTTATTGCCCAGTGTAGGGCCGATTTCTTTAGCTCCTTATCGGATGTCGCCACCGGAGTTGGCTGAGCTGAAGAAGCATATTGAGGATCTTTCGGCAAAAGATTTCATTCGACCGAGTGTGTCTCCTTGGGGAGCACCAGTTATCTTTGTGAAGAAGAAGGACGGGACAATGCGATTATGCACCGACTACAGGCGGTTGAACAAGGTGACAATCAAGAACAAGTATCCCCTTCCTCGGATTGATGATCTGTTGGATCAGCTCAGGGGCGCTTGTGTGTATTCCAAGATTGATCTCTGGTCCAGATAGCATCAGATTCGGGTGAAGCCGGAGGATGTCCCGAAGACCGCGTTTCGTTCGAGATACGGTCATTTTGAGTATTTGGTGATTCCGTTTGGACTCACAAATGCGCCGGCAGTGTTCATGGATTACATGAACATGATTTTCCAGCCGTATTTGGATCAGTTTGTGATTGTCTTCATTGATGATATTCTGATCTATTCCAAGACTGAGGAGGAGCATGCGGAGCATCTGAGGATAGTTTTGCATGTGCTGAAGGAGAAAAATCTTTATGCTAAACCTTCTAAGTGTGAGTTTTAGCTCAAATCAGTCAAGTTTCTGGGGCATGTGATTTCAGCAGATGGAGTTGTAGTGGATCCCAACAAGATTGAGGCCGTGTTGGATTGGGAGAGACCCAAGACAGCTACAGAGGTGAGCAGCTTCTTAGGTTTGGCAGGTTACTATCGAAGGTTCATCAAGGGTTTTTCCACGATGGTTCTCCCTTTGACTCGCCTTACCCGAAAGGAGACTCCATTTGTGTGGACTCACGAGTGTGAGGCGTGCTTTCAGGAGTTGAAGGAGAGATTGACTTCTTCACCTGTGTTGATCCATCCTGATCCTGAGGAGTAGTTTGAGCTTTACTGTGATGCTTCTGGAAAGGGGCTGGGCTGTGTGCTGATGCAGTCTGGTAGAGCTGTTGCTTTTTCTTCGAGGCAGTTGAAGCCTCATGAGGAGAACTACCCGACTCATGATTTGGAGTTGGCTGCGATTGTGTTTGCTTTCAAGATTTGGAGGCATTATCTTTTTGGTTTGAGGTTTGTGGTTTTCAGTGACCACAAGAGTTTGAAGTATCTCTTCGACCAGAAGGAGTTGAACATGAGGTAGAGGAGATGGATGGAGTTCATAAAGGACTACGACTTTGAGCTAAGGTATCATCCTGGCAAGGCCAATGTGGTAGCTGATGCTTTGGGTCAGAAATCTAGTAGTTCATCCAGTTTGCTACTTGGTAACTTCGATGTGGTTGAGAAGTTCCGCCACTTGGCAGTGACCGCTCCGTGTGTGAGCGTACTTCTCGGGTTGGAAGCATCAGATGTTGTGAACGAGCTGCTAGAAAAGATTAAAGAGGCACAAGTTCAGATAGAGTGTCTGGATTATGTGATGAACCAAGACGGTGTGTCTTGGAATGATGATGGATTGCTTTTGTTCCAGCGGAGGATTGTGGTTCCTCGAGGTCCATTGACAGAAGAGGTTATGGAAGAAGGCCATAAGGGTCAGTTTTCTATCCACCCTGGTGCTACTAAGATGTATCAAGACTTGAAGAAGAACTTCTGGTGGCCGGGCATGAAGAAAGATGTTGCTATCTTTGTGTCCAAGTGTTTGGTTTGCCAGAAAGTGCAGATTGAACACCAGAAGCCGTC